AATAGTTTGTTGGTCAGAGAAACTAACAATAACAACAACAATACGCATTGTTTAACAAGAGTAAAACGTCCAAAGAACAGCAGAATAATTTGCTGTATTGAACCTCGATTAGATTATTATATATATTTGATTTTGGAGTAATTAATAATTAAGTAAGTATTAAATACATACAGTATAAAATGTCTTGTATGGGTCTCTCACGTCAAAACAATAGCAAAAGATGTAGTTTGATATCGTTGTAAAGCAGTGTGAGATAATAGGAGTTGTCACTGATAAACAACTTTATATATATAATAAATCTTTATTCACACTGCGTTTAATCGTGTTCACTGACTTTCTTCCTCACTCTCTGACATATCTGATGCATCCTGTGTTTACCTGGAAGTTAAAGAAACTAGCAGCAAGTAGCAAACGCACCGTTAACTTAATAAAGTTACGGATTTCTCTAGGAATGAACATACACACACAAATACATAACACAGGTCCAGCTTTTATAAACGTTTCAGTGGTAGAAATGTTTCATATTATATCTTAAAAGTGTTTCACAAAAACTACCAGATGATATTAAGGTCACAATCCTAAATGTTGATATCACATTTACACAACACCGTGTTTAAGTCACGTGGAAGTAACTGTAATTTCCATCTTTTGACTACCATTTATATCAATATATGTGCACTGAAAGATATCAAAATGTCCAAGGAACGTACAAATATGAATGCTGTTTGCTTATTATTTTTACAAAAGCCTTTACCATTTTGCTCAATGCCATCTTTTATTGCTGTTCAGCAATTAACATGACAATCTTTCCCATTTACCGTCTATCTCACACACACACACACACACACAGTATTAACCATCTGCACTGACCTTTCCAAGAAGTGGAAGCTCACAGGTCTGTCCATCTGCCCACCTGGATTTTGCATCCCTTGTTCCCCTTTACCTACCAAACGAACAACACTAATGCAATTAAACATCTCACATTATCATTACGCAAATTGCTTATTAAATTACACGAGGGTCGTGCCATTCTTTTTATTAATAATGTTGTTGAAATTATGTGTTTACCATACACTTAATATCACACAATTCAATCTAATAGCACAGTGAAAACCTGCCAAATTCATTTTTTGTTTGTCTCAGAAGTGTTAAACTAGATTTATGATGTTATAATGCACATTTAAATCTATACAGCAGCTTAAGTCACACCTTTACTCACACTGAATATCTAATTCAGTAAGTTAACTTTAAAACACTTTACCTTTATTGGCGTCCATTACCGAGTGGCAGCTCCTTCCTCTGACAGAAACAAAACACAACTGCATTAGACATACAACCACACATCATGAATGAACCAAAGGGCATTGATCATTAATTACACTGTTTCACCAAATCACCAGTGTTAATCCGTAAGAACCCACACACACTTTAAATGTCCTTGAATCTTCCATGTACAGCTTTATGCTTGACCTTAATTTATTAAGTCCCTAAGTTACATCTACAAAACATCCTGGGGTGGTGGTCTTATGACAGTCATGTGACTGTGACGGGAAAGAGTCCCCCTGGGACTGAAATTACAAAAATGACGGAAATAAAGGAAATAACTAAATTCAAAAAGCTTGTTAGGTACTTAGGTAAGGTAAGTTTAAACCCATTTAACAATTATAATACCTCAATAATGTGTCCTGTATTGTATTTAACCTGTTCTCACCATATTTCCTGAACAAAATAATGTCAAACAGGTTACGAAAATGTCGTTAACCGTAAAGTCGTCATGGAAAGTCTGATGTGACGTCTGTGTACAATAAGAAAAAAGGTAATAAGCCCCTCAATTAATTTCACCGTTTCAATTATATAGGATTAATATATGCCCTGTTGTTCAATTTAAAGTATATTTTAAGAAATACAAACAAAATAATGTCAAATTATTAGTATTTATTTACCAAAAAACGACTTATTATATGTCACAAAACAAATATTTGACAGAAATGTGTTTTATGGTTTATGGTTTTA